GCGGGGATGTCGAATCCATAGACGTATTCTACGGAGGTTGGGTTCGAGTCCCAACCCCCTAGTAAAGCAAGGCTGGGTTCAAGTCCCGACCCCATACTAGGGCGTGGTGAGGTGAGGAGTATAGGGACACCTATATTCCGTTGTCATGGGCTCTTGGCCGGGGAGGCTAACTTAGGCACACCGCTAAGTGGGGGGATGCCCCCGGAGACATGGTCAACAAGTCGTAGGATAAAACGAGACGTTCGATGTGGGCATCGAACTTCTTCTATGGGTGGTGGAGTTGTAAGGAACCGACTCCCCGAGATGTCGTAGGCTAAAGGATCCCCAAAAGCTTGACCGAAATGACAAAGAGTTCATCGGATGGGACCAAGTCGAGGATCGAGTCCAAGACCGACTCTAGGACCGAGTTCGAGATAGGGTCCGGAATCGAGTCCAAGACCGACTCGGGGACCGAGTTCGAGTCCGAGTTCGAGACCGAGTTCGAGACGGAGTCCGAGATCCGAAATCAGGTCCGAGACCGAGTCCGAGGTCGAGTCCGAGGTCGGATCCGAGATCGGGTCCGAGATCGAGTCCGAGATCGAGTCCGAAACCAAATCCGAAGTCGGATCCGAAATCGGGTCCGAGATCGAGCCAGAGACTAAGTCCAAATACTAATACGGGTCAAGGGGTGAAAGCCCAAAGCGTGCGTCTCCCAGGGGGGGGGGGCGCTGCAGGGGGTTCCAAAAGTATAGTAGGGATAGTGAGGTCCAGGAACCAGTTTAGAAGGGACTCTCCAGTTGGGCTTCCAAACCGACTTGAGGTTGGGACTGGGACCGAGGGGCCTTGGGTGGGAGTGAGCATGGACTTGGCTGGTGCCGGAGGGGCCATCCAAGGAAGTGCTCAAGAGCAGCTCCCACTCCCGAAAGGGAAACCGACTGCGGTGCTGCCGGCTCAGGTGGAGTGGTGCCCCACTTGAGTACCTTGTGGCTCATTGGTCCTCGCCCTTCCGGGGGCTTGGGCCTTCCCTTCGGGATGGAAGTGGGGGGGTAGAGGTACCCATACCGAGCCGTTAGGCCACGGTGTTTCGCCCCGACGTCCCGAAGCAAGTGCTGCACCCAAGGCTTGGGATTTAGAGGGTCCCATGATCAAGCCTTGTGGTACCTTGGGGTGTTAGGAATCTGGAGGCTTGGTGTGCTTGGCTGCTTGTGCCTGCGGGGAGTGTAGCCGAACCTTAAGTCCAGTCTAACCCGGGGAGGGGGATTGGGAGAGATTTGGGAATCCGTAGATGGATGGCTAACACTCCGTTGCTCATGCAGTAAGTAGCTGAAACCAAGTAGGAGCTGGCACCATAGGCGAGAACCTTGGCGAGGGAACTTAGCACAAGCCAAGGCAGAGTTGGTCGGATAGGCGAGGTAAGCTGGCAAATTGAAAAGGAAAAATTTGTGGCTTACAATTTATAGAATGAGAAGAGTGATAAACTTTTTCATTAATATGTTGGTCCATATGAAATGCTAGAGTGCATTGGTAAAATAACTTATCAAGTGTAACTGCCAGTTGGGGTGAAAATTCATCTAATATCTTATGTCAACCAGTTGAATCTCAAAGTGAAAGGCCTCCTTAATATACACAACTATAGAAGATGGACCAAAAGCTTAAGCAAGGTTCCCTAGAAAGGGTGATCACTAGTACAATTTGTTTATGGGATAAAGACTTTGTTGGGGGGGAAGAATTGTTAGATGCCAATTTAACCATGTGGTCATTGTGGGTCAAAAAGAATATTAAGGCATATTAGGGTAAGGAATTTAACTGCAGCAGCTTTTGAGGTATATTAAGGGTGATTAGGTGGTAAGGAACCTTAAAAGGAAGCATAGCATAGTATAGGGAGACTAGATCTTTATCTTTTTAGCTGGATCATAAGATTATGGTTGCAGCAAAGGAAAGTCTAAGTTGTGGATAAGTACTACAATAAGGTATAGAAAATCACCATGGATGAAAAATTTAAGCCTAATGCATAGAAAAAATTTACTACTTTGGGTAAATCTCTTGACACTACTACTATTCCATGAATAATATAAATGAGGAAGTGTGTGTATAGAATGAAGTTTTGTAAATATGGTCTGCCTGGATGAGTGTTGCCACCAGACTCTCACCAATGGCTTCCACCTCTTCCACCTCTTTGACTACTGTCCTTTGCAATCAACATTTCAAGGCAGAGGTAGCAAATTCCTTGTCTCAAAGACCTCATGGTTTGCCCATTATTTTTGAGGTAGTAGGTTCCAATCTTTTGTTTGATAAGTCCTCTTCATGCTGGTGATGTTTGCCCACCTTTTTTTTGCATCCAAGCTTCAAAGCGAGTGGCTTGTTCCAGCTTCTGGCAAGGCTCACAAATTCACATGTCTCCTTGGCCACAGTGATAAATTCTAGATTAAAGGGATTTCATCTTGTGGGATTGAAAATGTTCCAGGCTCTAGGTGGTGCTGAACCCCCAAGTTGAGATGGAAGCTATGGGCTACTAGCTTGTACATGCCGGTCCTCTCACACTTCTGTATCTAGCACAGCAATTTGGTGAGGACCAATGGTGTGGGGTTTTGCATAGTGCTTTAAAACACTCCAGATATATGGGAGCTTTCACAGCAGCAAGATCTTCAAGGAGCCTTTTAATAAATTATCTCCAATCAGGAGCCTGCAAAGTCGCTTTTATTTTGCCCACGGTGTCTCCACTGCATTGCTCGAGGCACTTCTAGCAGCATGCCCAAGGCTGGAGATTCTCATCACCAAATGCGCCCATGGTATGCCTGTTCTTAGAGTCTCGCAGAGTGCAAGCCTCACAGTATTCGCGTTTGTTGGGAAGCATATGTCTGAAGTGATTGTGGATGCTCCAAACCTCATTGTGGGACATTGGCCGATAACCAGCAGGTTGAGCACGCTCGTAGAACTTGCGTGCCCTCGTCTTATATGGTCCATGCCGTCTAAACAAATGTTGTGACAAAGCTATATGTGGACAATGGAGCCCAGATGAGCTGATTAAGTGTGCAAGCTCACACAAGCAATCACAAAACTACACCTTTATGCTAGAACCAACGAGGATATGAGCCTAGCATGCTAGCACCACTAGTCAACGCTAGAATTGGGTCAGTTTTCCTTGAAATGAAATTGTATGTAACATCTTATAATCTTTTTGCACCTTAACCGTGCCATGCACACGTCAAGGATGAGGGACTTACCATCTATTTAAGAGCAAACACGTCTGAGGCACCTTATACTCCGGTCAAAAGTTTACTTCAAGATCGTCAAGCTTGTGGTGAACTTAAATGATTTTTTACAAGATTTACAGATGTTTGAAATCTTGGAGGCTCGTGGTTTGGCCATTAAATTTTTCTATAAAGGTTGAAAATTTTTCTTTTATATTACATCTTTCTTCACTGTTTTGTCCGAGACAAACTTCGTCGCGAATTTCGTCAACATCTTCGCTACAGAACTGACGTAAGCCGCCGAGTCTCAGCTGGAGCGCGCTTCTTATCCAAGGCTTCCAGGGCGCAAACTCTTGCCTCGAGGAATGTCATCTCTTGCGGAGTCAGAAGTACGGCTGGGCTTCGAAGCGGGGGTGCAACAGGTGATCGTGCTGGGGATGGGGATGGGAATGGCAAGCCGGGTGGTATGCAGGAATGATTTATTCTGTGCATGGAACGGAGGATCGGGTGTTAAACCGCGCAATTGGTGAGGATTGCTCCAAGTGCTGGGATTGTGGGCCACACGCTAGAGGATCTGGGCCCTGGACATGCTCGCCTGGAGTTTTGACATTCGAGCATGGGTTAGGGTTCTTATCACAGGGCGGGATCTCGACCGGCCGGAGAGAATGGTAGTAAACCAGGAACTAGTCCAAATTCCGCGGGCATTTTTCTTCTTTATGAGCAATTCCACATGATGAGCAATTTGCAAAACTCAGCAGCAGTTCTGGAGTGTGTAGCTCCATGATCAAAGTCCAACGTTGCCAATGGAGACTAAAGCAGTTGCACGGCTCTAGCAAGCACATTTGTTCATAGCTTTTCTGTATCCAATTTGAGTGGAGATGGCCCAACGAGATTAAAAGCAAGGGTGGGAATCATGTGGCTATGGGTTTTGTAAACACTTAGCTATAGATGGCTGTTGTGATACCACTTGTCAATGCGTACTTCTGCTTCTGGACGTTATAACTCAAGAGTGCTAAGCCAATCATCAATAGAGGTTTAACGTAAGCTTACATGTGCCACTGCACAAGCCCAATCCACAGAGTCGATGAAAAGTCGACAAGCTCAGCGCTCCTTGCTTCTGCTGCAGTTTTTGATCCAGCCAAGAACGATCTGGGGTGGAATATATGCAATATTAAGCTAACAAATGATGTTTGCTAGCAAATGATGTTTACAAAAGGGAATTAATAGTAGTTTGTATTATTTGAGTAAAAAATAATTCTAAACGTGGGTCTCATGAGGATGCCAGGAATGTCATTTTGGAGCAACCCACGAATTCACAAAGGTTTAGGCGAAGCCACTTAAGGATCTTCCTTTCGATCTCTATGTGTCTGCTAGGAAGTAAGCTTTGCACTTAGTGTTTATGCTATATGATGTTCTGCTGCGGCCTGTGCATGACAGGGTCCAAATACAAACCCTGTAAGGAAAAAGAGAAGAAATTCTATACAAACAACAAAAACAACCAATTGCTCACCAAGTCGTCCAAGGAAGAAAGAGTGGCAAGCAATAGAAACACGCTGGGAATGGTCATGGGGAACTTTGAGCATGGTGAGGCGCTGGATGCTTCCTTTGAATTTTTTGGTCTTGCCTAACGTAGCCAGATTTAAACTTTGCGAACTTCTATTAAGCCTGCCAGCATTTTCCTTGGCAATTTCTCATTAAGTATGATAAAAAACATTTTTTGCAAGCAAGAAAAAGTAGAGAGTGTTTTGTGAGGTAAGCATTCTGTTCCATCACGTCTCCTCTAGTCCATGTCTTTATAAGAGAAACACGTATGCACCGAAGAATCGCAAAATGGCAGCAGTCGTGGGAGATCAGTTTCGCTCTGCTCAAGAACAGCTACAGCTCGTGTATGAAAGAAATACTTGGAGCAGTGATACTGTGACAGATCTCAATGGGAGGCTTTTGCTCAAAGTGAAGCGCCCGACCTTCAGTGCAACGGATGTGCTCATCACAGATCCGAGCTCTCGTCCCATCGTTGTAATCTATCATGAGGTACTTTGGCTTCTCTAGAATTGTGATCAATATCTTTCGCCATTCTCACAGTTAAAGAACTTTCGCACTAACTGGAAAGTTTTCCGCGAGCAAAGCAGGGACACTCCTTTGCTTTGCACAGTCAGGAAATCATCTCGGATTCAATTCAGCCTTTCTTTGGATGTATTTCTGGCCTCCAACAATCCAGATTCCGATTCGAGTGAGCCTGATTTTCAGGTAAAGAAGGAAGTGCTTGGCAGTAGCATTGAGGTTTCTCGTGGACGAGGAGGAGCAGTGGTTGCCAGGGTAAGTCTATCAGATCATAAGAAATTATATGTATACATATATATTTCTTACCAGGCTGAGGCGATATCTCTCCTTTCCAACACAAGGTACCAGATCAGCGTGGCTCCTGGAATTGATTATGTGTTTGTGCTGTCGCTGATTCTGATCGTAAAAGAGAAAGAAGAAGCTAGACAAACAGCCCCTTCATCCAATCTACGATGAAAGAAGTTCCTATGACACAATTATATTAATATTTAAGAAGATGAAATGTCTGGACTTGCTAACTTGTTAATTAAAGACAAAGCTCTTCTCCTTGAGATCTTGGGTTCAATTCTATGCTTCCAGGTGGTCGTCAGAAGATTTAAAACATGCCATAATATGGCACTGTTGAGAGTGGCGATTTCTGCAGAATTTTTGTGTATGTTTTTTTGTTACAATATAATAAACGAGAAACCTTTTTATTTTTTCTTATTATTATTTATTTTTATTCAAATAATTATTTATTAAACTGGCTGTTAAGTTAACCAGCATTCTATGATGTGAAATGTTTTTTGAAGTGGTGAAATTCTTGTTGAATATTTGCATAATTTTCTGGTATAGCATTGTTACTTGCGTTGTATAAACTTGGACAGTAAAGTGATCTTCTATACGTTTTTGTTTCAAAGTCAAGGAAGGCAGGCATGGCGCAAGAGGTTGTAGGCGGCCAGTTTTGCAGGGCGGAGCGAGATCAGCATCTGGTGTACGCAGAGCATTGTTTGAGCAGCCACAATGTGAAGGATGTCTCCACGGGCAATCTCGTATTCAAGGTGAAACACCCCACTTTCGGCAAAGCGGACATTCTTGTCAAGGATCGAAACTCCACCACGGTTCTCCGCCTCTGCCAGAAGGTAACTGATGCTTGATTCACAAAACTTTCTCTCGAGGCCATCTTACCAATTTCCACTCAAGATATGGCACCTCCACGCGACCTGGCAAGTCTTTCCGGGAGGCAAATCCAGCGAGATGCTCTTCCTCGTCAAGGAGTCATCGCTGCTCGAATTCAATCTTTCCATGCATGTTTTCCTCGGCCCAAACAAGTCCCCGAAGGAGCATCCAGATTTCAAGGTGAGGAGGAAGGCAAGCAGCAGCAGCATCAAGATTTACAACAGAAACGATCAGATAATTGCCAAAGTATGCACGCTCTCATTGAGATCATTTGAGTAACTTTAACGTTTTTTTTCCTAGATCAAGCCAAGCTGTGGCTGCTGCTTATTGGGAGGACATGACATACATGTCAACGCAGGGACAGACTCCGCGTTTGTGCTGTCCTTGTTTTTGATTGTCCATGCCAAAGATCAAGAAATCGCGGACACCATGGAGCAGGTAATGGCGACTGTAAGATGACGATACATTGTAAAACCGTGAAAGCATCCATGAACATCTAAAGTAGGACGCTATCAAGTTCAAAGTAGCAATTTGTGCGAAAGACTCGATTAGCTTCCATCTATACAAAGCGAAAGAATTCTCTATATCATTCTCACTGTCTGTAAGCCTCCTTCTCCAAAGTCGCTGAAACAGCGGCCAAGGAGAAGGCAGTGGAGGCCCCTTTGGCAGCCTTGACTTTGGCAACCAAGAGGTTCCACCGTGACTCCTCTTTCTTCGTTTGCTGGCCGATCCGGTCCTTGAAATGCCTGTCGAAGAAAGAGCTGAAGAAACTAGCAGCGAAAAACTACAAACTCTTACCTGCAAAGTGGGACTTTGCATCGCTCGGCATCGCCACACATTCTCGAGTGTAGCTCCAGGAGCTCCCACATCCGCTTGCAATGAAGGCAGCCACCCGAGACCTTGGTCCGGCACCCGGCAAAGTGTCGGACCAGAGACTCGAGTCCCTTGCACGCTGGAAAGCCGCACGAAGAAGAAGACGAGGAAGAAGAAGAGAAAGAACTCTGCCTGTTGATACCGTCGGGCGGCCTTTCGTGCGGCCCGATGGTGCGGCATCCGTCGCGGCATATGTGAACCAGCGCCTCCATCGCGTCGTGGAGCTGCTTGTACACCTTGTCTTCCTCGGATTTTCTCAGCTTCTCTTGCTTTCTCTGCGAACAAAGAACGTAAGTTCAATGAAGATATGGAAAGAATGCTTGGGAGAACTAGAACTTACGGCGTCGGCCTCGATGACGTGACCAACGAGCTCCTGCTCGAGCGTTTGATCGGACTCGCGCATCACTCGCCAGCCTTCGGACTTTACCACCGTCTTGAAGCTGGCGACGATGAGACGCAGGCACAAGAGGTTTAGCCGGCTCGCATCGCACAGTCGTGCGAGCTGGAGCACGTCCACGACGTTTTCGGTCGTGAGCAGGCCCCGCTCCAGCGCCTCGGTGCATTTCTTCTTGAGGAGCGGGATCGAGTACGAGTGGGAGAGCGCGAGCAAATGTAGCACGTACTTCTCCATCTCTTTTTCCTCGTATCTAGAGCAATGGTGACGATCAAGGAAAGAGAAAACATCCTTGGCTTACCGCGACGAATACACAAACCGAGTGAAAACTCTCGCAGCATCGTATGGAACTCCCAAAATGTGGATGGATCGCCGGTGGTGCTTTCCGGACGGTTGCTGCTCTTGGAGCAAGCGTAAGAAAACCGGAGAGCTTGCGGCCTGTTCGAGAAAAAAGAAAACTTTGCTTGCGTATACTAGATTTTCAAGCTTACCAGCACGAACGAGTGAGCAGCAGTCATCCCTCCATCCTCGGTGACGATGCAAACGTCCGTATGGAGGCCCTCGCAAAACAACTTGTCCCAATTGTCGACGATCTCTCTCGGCACCAGAACTCCCCCAGTGCTCGCCCTGCTGCTGGAAGAACTCGCCGACAATTTCGCCCTTCTAACATTCCACGATGGAAGCGGAGGTGGTGGCGGTGCTGAAGAACTTGTCGTAGAACTCGTGAGCTCGGAGGAGTCGTGGAAAGGAGAAGAATTGATGGAGCCGCTACTACTGCTACTGTCCTGTGGTGTGGAGTTAAGACTAATCTCCTGCGAGCTCGTCCGGCTGTGCAAAATGCCGGCTGTGTCTAGCGACGCCGATCTGTGGATGAGTGAATGGTTGTCTACCAGACCTGGCTTGTTTGACGAGGCATTACTGTCCTGTGATGATATTGATCGCTGGAGCGGAGGCCTGTACAGTGGTGGCTTCATCGCTCGGAAAGATGTTCGCTCTTCATTGACTTGCTGATGGATTGTCAATGCCATCTCTTCTCGACCATTTTCCAAGCAGGAAAGCAAACAGAACAGAGTCGAGAGAGAAAACTCTTGACGAGACCTCGAAAGGGGAATTCTATGGAACGCAAGCAAGAAAAAGAGAAACTTACAATGAAAGAGGGCCTCCTTGAAAGTTCTCTCCTTTTTGCTTTACCGAGCAAGATCCCAAGACCCACTAAGAATTCGATCGGTGCTCCGGTCTCGCAGCGTCAATCCAGGGTAGAATCGACCCCAGCAGCTCAAAGTCTTCGCAGAGATCGAGGGAGACAGCTCCGAAAAGTCCCGACTCTGGTCGCTGCTCGACACCATTATCGATCCTAGAGCTAAAGCCAGTAGAATCGCCACAGCCACCAAGACGAAAACAGTACTACTTTCGCTCGCCCTCCACACAAACGCTCACACGCGCTCGCGAGAGGAAAAAACGCTGCCTGGGACATAAGAGAATATGCCACGCGGGTGCAAGAATATGCCTGTCTCGTCTGCTGGACGAACAGAGCCCGTTGCGTGCAGCCAATGTAAATGCATAACGTATATGTTCTAAGCTCGCGATTTATCATCCATTTAACGAACAAACACTGCTTCATTAGTGTGGCTGGACATGCAGCCTACGTACCTCCCCCAAGATTTGCCATGCAACGCACATTTCTACGACGCAGCCTTTGGAAAGTTGGTGGTTGCAACTTCGTTGTTTTTGGGAAGATCGTGACTTGAAAGCTCCGGAAGAAAAATTTCACCAACAAAACAAAAATAAAAGTCGAAAAAAAAAGTGAGAGAGAAACGATGCCCAGCATGAAACTTCTTATGTGTTTGTCTTGTTATATGACACAAGAAAACACCAAGTCCAAAAAACCATCCATCCAAACCGGCGCTGATGAATGAATGAATGGCCATCTCGAATCGCTATAGAACTTGTCCTTGAGCAAACAGAGATGTCGATAAGGCGCAGGCGCAAGTGGATTCCCAAACTCCATACCTTGACATTGTCTTCAAATCTTTCTTTGATAGAATAGAAAATCCATACATTCCCATGGTTGGGAAGTGATCTCTTCCCTGACAAGGCAAAGTTGACCATAAATGCCCAATTGGGCCCAGCGCGTAGCTTGCATGGACACGACCTCTCCTCCCAAATTTTCCCTGGCACACATTAATTCATACACAAGGAAACTTCGCTCGCGAGCTGGAAAGAAATTCGTTTTAAATGCCCTGGAGTTTGATCTGATCATCGCAGAGCTCGCTGCTAGCGCGATCTTCCAAAATCCGAGCTCGCCACAGTCCAAACTGTGCGTCGCCACCACAGATAGGATTGAAAGAGAACACCAAGAATAAGATCGAGAGAAACAAAAACAAAGTGAGCTTATCATTGATGATCTTGGTTCTTACTTTCTTATTCTCGGACCAAATTCCTCCTCCTTGTCGATCCAAAATGCGGAGAGAAAACTTCCACCCCCAAAAAACCCTGTTCGTTCTGTCTCTAATCTGCTCGGCCCAACAATCCCAGCGATGAATTGGAGTCTTTGAGGATCCTGGAGCAATCTGTGTAGCCGGAGCCCAATCCCACGCCCGCGCCAAATGCCATGGTCGCCCATCGCGCCGATGGCGAGCGGAAGAACAGCAGCCCCGCGAACACTCCCACCGCCGACGAATACACGAACCTGCGCAGCATCACGTCGTAGCAGGCATCCATCTTCTCATCGTGCACTCGATCCGAGCCCGGCATAGCTCCGATTCCTGCCTTCTCTCCTCCGCGTCCTCAAACCCTAGCTCCCTCTCAAACCCCAGCCCTAAAATTCCACGTGGCTCTCTTTTTCTTTTTTAAAAATAAAACAGTACATCTTATCGCACGGCCTAGTTTCGACGCGCCACATCAGACGGTCCAGTTCAAATATCTAATCGGACGGCCGATATTCAAATAGCCCCATCGGACGGTCCAGGGCCATCGTCCTCACCAGTAATCCCCGCAAGAGCACGCCCCATCCTTGAAATGGTGGAACCTCCTCACGTCTCTCACCACGATCTCCCTGCCAAACACCTTGGAGATGAATTTCGAGGCGTTGTGGCAATCCACGCACACCCGCAAGTTCTTGATCACGCGTAGCGTGGATCCCTGCGGTGTGCTCATCATCCCAAACGCGATGGCGAGCTTCTCGCTGTGGAATCGCAGGAGCTGCTCCTTCTGCTCCTCCTCCACGTCGTGGAGCACCTCGCCCGTCACCGCCCGGTACCCCGCGCGCTCGATCGCGCCCATGACGCGCTCCAGCTCCGCGTAGATTGCCTCCGACTGCGGGTGCGAGCGATCGCGCACCACGAACTCGTGCACCTTGCTCCGGATCTCGATCGAGCTCACGCCCGGGATCTTCCGGAGCCCCAGATCGGCCATGATCTTCCTCACCGCCGCAGCATCCTCCCACCGCCCGGCCGCCGAGTAGATGTTGCAAAGCGCGACATAGGCCGCGGTGTGATTCGCCCTGAGCTCCAAGACCCTCTCGGCGGCAAATCTCCCGCGCTCGGTATCGCCGTAGATCCGGCACGCGCCCATCAGGGCCATCCACGTGGCGGCATCGGGCGGCACAGGCATCGCCTGGACGATTCCGTGCGCATCCGCGAGCCGGCCCTTCCGCCCCAGAAGATCCACCATGCATCCGTAGTGCTCGGTCGCGGGAACCACGCCATGGTCCCCCGTCATCGCCGAGAAGTGCTCGCATCCGGCTTCCACGAGCCCGGCGTGGGCGCACGCCGAGAGGAGATTCAAGAAGGCGACCCTCTCGGCATCGAATCCCTCCTGTAACATCGCCCGGAAGAGATCGCAGCAATCCTCGACGCGGCCGTGCTGCGCGCTCGCGGAGAGCATCGCGTTCCAGGAGATCTCGTCCCTGGCGGGCATTCCATCGAAAGCGTCCCTGGCGTCGCGCAGGCTGCCGCATTGCCCATACATGCTCACGATCGCGTTCCCGAGCGTGACATCGCGATCGAGGCGCCGATCCGCGGCGACGCAGGCGTGGATTTGCCTACCCTCGCTCAGCGCCGCCAGGCTTGCGCACGCATCCAGCGCGGTGATGTAGAGGATCCTGTCGGGCGAGATCCCGCGCTCGATGGCTGCGCCCCAGAGCTTGAACGTCGATCGGCGATCCCGGCACTGCGCGTATACTGCGATCATCGCAGTGACGAGCGCGGCATCCCATTCGCCCTCCTCGCGCGCCGAGAAGACCCTGATCGCATCCTCTTGGCCATCGCATCTCGCGTAGGCCATCACAAGATCCGTGACGATGGCTACGTCCGTGGCGACGCCGATCTCTTGGGCGATGGCCTCGACGAGCCGCGCGGTGTGAAGATCCTCGCATCCTTCCAGCGCCGCGAAGAGAGTGGATCGCGTTGGAACCACGCCCTCGAGCAGCATCGCGTGGAACGTCTCCACGGCTAGCAGATGCCCGATCTGGGCAAATGCTGCGATCATCGATGTCCACGACACGGCATTCCTCTCGGGCATCGCCGCAAAGAATTCCCTCGCACAATCGATCTCTCCGCAGCGCGCATACGCATTCACCAGAGCAGTAGCCACGACGACGTCAGATCCAAGCCCTGTTTCATCGAGGCAGGTGTGGAATCCCTTCACCTGGGAAGCGCGAAGTGATGGCGACGAAGAACACGCCTTGAAGACCGAGACAAATGTGACGAGATCTGGCGGGATCCCGAGCTGGAGCATCCGATAGAAGATCTCCAGCGCCTCTCTCGGCGATCCATTCTGCGAATTCGCGGTGATCATCGCGTTCCACAGCACCACATCCAGATGCCTCTCCAGATGCCCAAACAGGGCATTTGCGTCACGCAGGCTCCCACACCGGCCATACATGCTCACCAGCGCGCTCGCAACGATCTCCTGGAGTCCCAATCCAGCCTCGACCGCGCAGCGATGGATCAATCGTCCCGCCGCGAGGAATTCCTCGCTCGAGCACGCGCTAAGCACCGACACAAACACAATAGCATCTAGCGCGATGCCCTCTTGCAAGATTCGATGGAACAGAGCTATGGCGGCCGCCGAATGGCCGCGTGACACGTAAGCGGATATCAGGACCGTCCAAAGCACGATGCTCTTGTGGGCGATCTTGTGGAAGACGTCTATCGCGCTCTCGAGGCTGCCACACCTGAGATACATGTAAACGAGGCTCGAGGCCAAATACCCATCGCGAGACAAGCTCTGGCTACTCGAGATTTTGGAGTGAAGAAGTTTGCCTCTAGCAATCGAGTTACATTCCCGGACGAGACGAACAGCCGCGGCAGAGTCAAAACTCGAGAGATCCTGCTGCTGCTGCTGGATCCAAAATTGTTGCTGTTGCTCCAATCCTACTAGCTGGGATGATCGCATTCTAGAGCCACCCGAAGAATATCTTTATCTCTGCCTTGCCAAAAGTTTCGTCGTCGTCCTCACAATCAAAACTGGAATTTTCGTGGAGCTAGTACTTGCGGCCCCCTCTTCCACCGCCACTGTAGCCTCCACGACCTCTTCCACTGCTAAATCCTCCTCTGTTACCTCTTCCACCGCTGTATCCACCTCTGCTGCTTCCACCACCTCCATAGCCACCACCGCCATATCCACCCCTGTGGAAACGAAACACGAACACGAACACGAACACGTCAGCGAAAACCAGCGCATGAAGGAATGTAAAATGCAGTACGTTCTTTCGGGCTTGGCCGTCAGCTCTGGAAGAGCCTCAGGAATTGAGATGGTGAAGTTATCCGCGCCGTCGTTTCCTGATCACGCAGCAGACTTAGGAACATACGGCAATGAGGTGAATTTGTTTTACCGATCAAAAACTCGTCCACCATTGCGCTGGGAACGTCAAAGACCGCTGCTTTACCGTCCGCAGTAAGGTTCATGCGCCGAATCGAGGAACTACATTCCTCGCTTAAAAAACCTCGCAACGCATTGAAGATATATCTGTGCTGCAGCGTATTAGAGAAAAGAATCGACTTTGGAAATTGCAAACGTACCCCACGGAATGTATCGGCTTGGACACTTCGAAAAGTAAAGTTGTAGCGTCGTCATGCGATGTCTGCAATGATCTCCTCTTCACTTCAGTGCACCCCTGTCAGAATTTCAAAGCATCAGATATAACATTCATGGTTTAAGAATATTAACGCTTACGGCAATCTTCGCTAGAGCCTTAGCCAGAAGTTCCATGGCCGGACGCTTGCAATCGCTGACAAGTTGCTCTGCTGCTTCTTTGAAGAAGGGTACTACGCTGAAAGAGTACGATACATTTTAGAAATAAATCAAGAGAAGGTTGAGATGTACCTGTCTGAAACTGCTGAAACGGCCTTAATAGCGGTGAATGATGATTCCTTAGCGATTGTAGAGGGCTGAGGAGGTGTGATCTTTTCGAACTTAAATCCTGCCTTCGCTTCAATCATAGGTATCATATATTCCTTCTTCCGATCGAACATCATCACGGCAATTCCCGTATTTCCTGAAAATCAAAGTGGGCCATCAGCAAGTTACTATAAAAGGATACTGAACAACATACCCGCTCGCCCCGTCCGACCTGATCGGTGAATGTAAGTCTCTACATCCTTTGGTGGCTCACACTGCTCATCGAAACTTTACAACCCGTTATGATGCAATAGAGGAAGCAAACCTGGATAATGAGTTGGACGTCATTGATATCCAAACCTCGAGCAGCAACATCGGTGGCAACTAGGACAAGGAACTTTGCAGACCGAAATCCAGCTAGAGTGTGCTGTAAAAGAAACGATGTAACGCACTGCTGACTATGTAATCCATTCGTTACCTCTCGCTGTGCTTGTGGAATGTCTCCGTGTAATGGCCTAGCGACGTTTGTCCCTAACGAACCAGCAAGCTCGGAAGCATCATTTTTCGTCTCCGTGAAAACTATAACTCTTCCACCACTGGAAAGAAAGAAAAGGAGAGAACAGATCAGAACAACCTCCCCTAGGAAATGAAATGCTTTACCTGCCATAAACCTTAATCACATCTGCTATCATCTGAGACCTCGCAGAATAAGCGCATTGAAGCAGCAAGTGCTTGACATTGTTACTGGCCTTCATTTTCTCATCTCCAACAAGGTCCACGGTTTTCTTATTTGGTTTAAGAAACCTTGTTGCTATCTGAAGATTAAAAAAAGTTCATTTGAACAGAAAGATTCATTTTTATTCCGTCACGCACCTCTTTCACCCAGCTGGGCATAGTAGCACTGAACAAAAGTGTCTGCACGGAGGAGGTATCTTCGACAGCGCCTAAAATAGCTTCAACAGCCTCCACAAATCCCATGTTAAGCATCTCATCGGCCTCATCAAGGACTCGGAACTTCAAAGTTTTCAAGTTCAAGTCACCGCGGTCCAGGAAATCCTGCAAAACCGAAGCCTGGTAAGGATGTCCAGAACAACAAAATCCATTACCTTAATACGTCCAGGAGTCCCAACAACAATGTCCACACCACGACGCATAGCATTCTGCTGGGGACCATACTGACTTCCACCATAAACACAAATAGTGCTCAAGCCAGCAGCACCTCCGTAGCACTCAAAGTCTGCATGAACCTATAGAGAAGAAAGCTTTACTCGCGAGTCATGAAGTTTCCACTTACTTGTTTCGCCAATTCACGAGTTGGAGCAAGAACTAGAACCGTAGGAGCACGTCCATAACCTTTTTTCCCCGAAGAAGACTTTCGCAGCGATTCTATGATAGGCAACACAAAAGCTAGCGTTTTTCCCTGGAAAAAAAAAGAACTTTAGGCGCTCTAAAGCTACAACGAAGGACTTACTTGGCCAGTGCGCGCTCTTCCAACCAGATCATCGCCATCCAGGACGATGTCAAAGCTCTGAGCTTGAATTTGGAACAAGGCCTTGATCCCTTTCTCCCTGAGCATCCCCTTGACAGCGTCCGAGATCCGGAAATTCTCCAGCGCGTAGGGATTCTCGACATCAATGTCGCTCTTCTCCGGGCTCGACGGCACCTCGGATTTCTTGCGCTTCTTCTCTGGCTCCTCGCCCTCTTTCTTCTTCCTCTTCTTCTCCTTCTTCTCGGACGAATCCATCTCCTTCTTCTTATCCGCCAAATCCTCCGCCGCAGCTGCCTTGAGCTTCTTCGGCTTCTGCTTCACGATCTCTGGCTCAACCTCCACTCCCGGCATCGTAGCAGCGATGCCAAAGACCTAGAACACACCTCTAGAACCCTAATTCCTCTCTCTTTTGGCGGCTAAAAGGGGAAAAGCGCGACGACACGTCAGCCCTATGATTTAGAAGTGATTAAGTTAGTACAAAGTTAAACAAACTCGTTAAACTGAAATTAACAAATAACTTATTCTTCTCACTGGGCTGTGCTTCGTCGCCTGGGAACGTTACAACCGGGGCAGCGGGAGGAGAGGTTCCAAATTGTACACCAAAACTCGTCGCAAGAGAGAATTTTTTTTTGTTGTTCTTCCGCCATTAAAGTCCATCCCTGCCCCTAGAAACTTTTTTTTTCCTTCTTCCTCCTGTTGTCAGGACCAAGCAGCACTAAAAACGAGAAATCTCTCCAAAGAACGAACAAAGGATCCAATCCAACCAACGATGAAGCTCTCTCTGTCGCCCCCTTGATGAAAAGCTCAGTCCAGAGATATCTACACGGAGCAGCATCCATTCTTCCTCCTCCTCCTCCTCCACCCCGGGAAGCTCAATCGTCTACAAGTCTCCACCCCGGCACTGGGATCTCTAGCAACTGTTGCTCCGTCAATCCGCCAGGGCCGGCCTTTGCCACGGCCTTGGCAACCGCGGCGGTGGCTTTCACCTGTGCCTTCTTAGGCTCCTTCGAAGCCTTTGAAACTTTGAGCTTTGTGGTGGCGACAAGTACCTCGTCAGCGGGCTCTTCCGTGCCATTGGTGGTGGTCTCGCTCGGGTCCCTCTTGATCGCTACCACCGCGTCCGCTACCACCGCAGTGCTCGTAGTTACCAGCGCGTTGCTCATCGTATTCGTTTTGTTGTCGTGCCTCTCCTCGTCTGGCATGTCTGTGTTCTCGGCGGAACTAGAGCTAGTAAGCTCTGCTTTTTCGTCGGTCTCTTTGGAGGGAGACCTCGAGAGAGACCTGTCAAACTCCCCCGAGTTAGTGAAAAAGAAAGAAGAAAGAAAAATCTTAACTGGTAGTGGAACGGACAGCTTCTACCTCCATATCCAACACGCTTTATCATTTTCCTCTTGAGCAGTCTGCGAGTTCTCAGGCAAGAAAAACAATGTTAATACACAAGACTGCAAAGAACGCACATTTTCTAGTCCTTACAGTCTGAGAGCTTTGCTCGTGTCTGGATTGTTTCCCAGTGCCTCACGGATCACCTTCTCGGTAAGGGTCGCATTTCCAATAAGTTGAAGCACGCGGTAAGAACAGCGCAGCACGCGACTTTGTTTCCAGCCCTCCTCGTCAAGATCTGCCTTAAGGAAATCTCCATTGCTACTGGAAGGGCTCACAGTCATTTCGGACTTCCCCTGGTTCTTCTGCAAGAAAGAAAAAGAAAAAAGAGAGTCAACAGAGCGCCAAATGCACCTCTAGATCATCACACCACACAGAAACCAAGCCCTATGGCCGTCTAGATCCCTATCTACTGTAGAAAAGCCGCGCAAGAAGGCCACAAAACCTCACATTCTCCCGGATTTACAGACCTTACGGACGCCCAGTCGATTCCTCGGCGCAAACCGCGATGGCATTTGAAGCTTTTCTCAGGCGCTGCAGCGAATTCCCAGCCGGCACACCATGCGACATCCACAATCTAGGGCCGCGACGCGCCGAGCTAGAACCCTACCGCTGGAAGAAGAAATTTCGGAATGGAATCACAAACCCTAGCTGCGGCAAAGCGCATTATATACCTGGAGGGAAACCTGGAGATAGACTGGGGATGAAATGGCTTAGGGTTTAGGGTTCTGTACAGGCCATACGCCATGGACGATCCGACTGCAGAGTTTTCAACCAACGGTCCAGATCGATCGCATCTGCGGCGAATATGCTACCGGATTGGCACGGCTCGAATCGTCCTGTGAGGGGAAAACATTCTGTCTTATCAGAGGCTGACACGCGTCTCGTGCTGGGCTGTCAAATGTTCCACACGCACAGGTCTTTCTTCTTTGCTGGTAAAAGGAGTGCTTAAATCCTTTGTTCTAGGGTTTGGGGCTCGAGGGGGGCCAAGCGCGTCGTGGAGTAGCGACGAGGTCAAGTAACGCCTCCAAGCGGTATGATCATTCCCCTCACAGCTCGGAATCCACGGATTATCTGAGCTACATTGCGATCGCTGTCGCGAGAGGCTGTGATTTCGGGTAGATCTTGGCGAGAATGAATCGATTTCTCTCTAAATCCAAGAGTATGGAGACTGGTAGCAGGAGATCGACGGAAATTGGGCCCGGGTTGCCACCGCTGGATGTGAACTTGTCCGAGAGCGCTCTCAAGGAAGCCGCGTATGAAATTATCCTGGTAGCATCGGGTTCCATCGCCGCCAGGGCGCTGGTTTACACAGGGATCAAGAAGAGCACGAGTTTGAACAAGCCTGCCGAGAAATCAGCCACGGCTATGGCTGCCAGTCGAATGAAGAAAGCTCTGGGGCTTAGATCTAAACGCGACAGTGACAGTCAAGGAAAAGCCAAGCAGCCGATAGAGCGTCTGAGAATTCAATTAGGTGTATCGGAGAAAGTGGATGCCAGAGTGAGACGAGCACTGACGAGAGCTACAGCAGGACAGGTATGGAAATCCCGTTCCAAGCTTTTACTCCTTTGCTTAAGCTCTTTAAGCCCACCTTTCCTCTTTTTGTTGATGCAGACTGGAAAGTCTCTCGTTGTTCCCGTGGAGCTTCTCCAGAACATTGGCTCCACCGATTTTTTTGAGAGCGAGGAATACAACCAGTGGCGAAGTTCTCAGCTAGACGTTCTGGAGGCCGGTTTGCTTTGCCATCCTAAGATCGATTTGGACAAACGTGAGCTTGGAGCGCAGCGCTTGAAGCAGGTGCTGTTTGAAGCCAGGCAAACTCCGTTTGAGACCGGTCGGAATAGCGAACGCATGCAAGCGTTGAGAAGCGCAGCTATGGCCTTAGCAAGCAGGGGAGACGATGGTATCCATTGGGCAGATGGCTATCCTTTCAACGTCCACCTTTACCAGGTGTTACTGCAGTGCTGCTTCGACACACAGGATCCGAGTGCTGTCATCGACGAGATGGATGAGTTGGTGGACTTGCTCAAAAATGGCTGGAGTATACTTGGCATCGATCAGAAAGTTCACAACATCTGCTTCCTGTGGGTTTTGTTCCGACAGTTCTTCGTCACGGGCGAGACTGAGCTGGAACTTCTAGGTGCTGCTCAGACTCAGTTGAATGAAGTTTCTAAGGATGCCAAGAACGAACGGGATGCCATTTATATCCAGCTTCTGAGCTCGGCTTTGTCGGGGATGCAACAGTCAGTTGAGAAGAGGCTCTTTTCGTACCACGACGCGTTTCCAGTTGGAGGTGCCGGACTCATGGACAAGCTGATCCCGTACGCCCTCGCTGCTGCTCAGATCTTGCACGAGGACATCTCTCAAGAGTATCGCCGAAGACGGACGGAGCAAGTGAACGTGGCGGCCACCAGGATTGATGCCTACATACGTTCCTCGGTTAGGAGTGCTTTCGCAATGGTAAGTTCCTGTCTGTTCTGAGGTACTGTTTGTTTAGCTAACTACTGTTAATTGGACGCAGATGATGGAGCAAGTTGATTCCAAGAGAAAGTTGGCCAAAACTCAGACTCCGGCGCTTGCTGTCCTTGCAAAAGATACTATGGATCTTCTCCGAAATGAGAAGGCAAAGTACAGTCCAATCTTCAGTCAGTGGCATCCCAATCCTGGGGGTGTGGCAGCTGCGACTCTCCACGCGTGCTACCACAGGGAACTTAAACAGTACTTGACTGGACTCAAAATTCTCACTCCCGAATCCGTAGAGGTTCTGAAGTCGGCAGACCAGCTGGAGAAAGAGCTCGTTCAGGCCGTCGTCGAGGACGCGGTTGACTGTGACGACGGAGGAAAGGGCCTCATTCGAGAAATGCCTCCTTTTGAAGGTGATTCCACTGTAGCGGCCTTGACAAAACAGTGGGTGCAATCGAGCATCGAACGCCTCGGGGAGTGGGCGGAAAGAAACATGGCAAAAGAGGTTTTGTTTCTGAAGCGTGTCTCCACTTTGGCTGACGCTTTGTGGCCTGTCTGTAGGACTGGAATCCAAATGCAATGCGTGAGCATTATGCGCCATCAGTAGTGGAGCTGTTGCGGCTGATCGAAGAGACCTTGGACGCTTTCTACGTGCTCCCCATCTCGCCTCCAAAGGACGTTGTCCAGGACCTTGCTTCCGGGGTGGACCGAGTTTTGTATCGATATGTTGCTCACGCCGTCTCCAACTGCGGTAAGCTATTATTTTGCGGGCCAACCAAGGAAACTTTCGGACTGATATCTTATGTTTCTTTGTGGTTTTCGTAGAATCCAAGACAAATCCCCGTTTGCCGCCTTTAACGCGATGGAACAAAGATCTCCATGCAAAGAGCAGCTTATCCTGGTTCAAAAAGGACAAAAGGAAGGGACAGGTAGAGCCCAGGAATGGCGTCCAGCACGTCGACACGACCGAGCTGCAGCACCTCTGCGTTCGCATAAATACGCTGTATCATCTGGAGTCTGAGCTCGAGTTTATGGACAAGCGCATACGAGCCGGGTGGCAGGACAACAGCGTGAAGCGAGACTCCGAGCCACAATCCAAAAAGCAGCCGGGCAAATCTCCAGACGCCAGCGGCGATCAGGCAAAGTTTGAAAGAGCACGGTCGAGCTGTAAAGAAGGCATCCAGAAGCTGACCGAGGCCGGCGTCCACCGCGCCGTTTTCCAAGACATGAGGGCGGTGCTGTGGGACGGACTGTACGCCGGGGGCGTGGCAAACGCTCGGGTGGACCAGGTGATCCATCAGCTGGATGCGCAGCTGGAAGTCATCGCGTCGACCGTTTCGGGGCGGCTCCGGAACAAGCTCGTGACGGCGCTCATGAGGTGCTGCTTCGACGCATTCTCGCTGGTGATCCTTGGCGGCGGGCCGTCAAGAGCGTTCCAAGCCGCGGACGCGGCGATGCTGGAGGAGGACCTGGCGGCGCTACGGGAGCTGTTCAAGGCCGACGGCGACGGGCTCCCGGCGGAGGTGGTGGACAGGTACTCGTCGTGCGCAGCGCAAGTTCTCCCGCTCTTCGCCATGGAGACTGGCGAGCTCATCGACAGGCTCAAGTCGCTCGACGGCGGCGGCAGATCGAGGGGCTCCTCCTCCGCTCCCGTGCCGCCCAATCCCAAGAGCTGGAGCCCATCGGATCCAAACACAGTGCTGCGAGTTCTCTGCCACCGCGCGGACGAGACGGCCTCCAAGTTCCTCAAGAAGGCGTACGGCCTTCCCAAGAGAGTGTGATCTCCCGTACTAGCCCGATTTTTTGTATATAGAGGATATTCTTTAGAATGTTGCTTGACGGACTAAGCTTTAACGCTGGCGGTATATTCTGCGCGGCTTTTTCGCGCCGTATATACCCCGTATATGCCCTAGCTCTCGTCGCTCTCCGTGTTGCGTGTCCGATCGTTTTCTTATTTCTTCGCTCCCCGGTCTTCGCTGCGCCTTCCTTTGTGTGTCGGCTATTTTCCAGGGAGGGTTAGATCTGGATTGTCAATCCCTCGCCGCGGCACTGTAGAAATCTACGATCCACGGCGCGCTAGAAATTCTAATCTTCGCTAGAGCGAGCTTATTGATTGGCTGGTTGCTTGATTCGAGCGTTCTTACGCGATCTTTTCGATTCTTTCTTGCTCGGGGGAATGGCGGAGGATCCCAAATATGCCTATCCCGCGCAGCCGGCGTATGGCTATCCCCCCCAACAAGGTATGCGTAATCTTCCCTCTTGCCTCTCTTGTTCTTCCAGCATTTCCATTCGCCGCTAGAAATCTTTTTCTTGGAGTTTGTGGCTTTCGATTCCTACGATCATGATCTTTACTCTCTTGCGGATTTGTCTCCAGGGTATCCGCCACAGGGCTATCCCCCGCAAGGCTACCCGAATCAAGCGCAGGGAGGATACTACCAGCAGCCACCGCCAGTAGTTCCACCGCCGCAGTATCAACAACAAGCTCCTCCGCGCAAGAACAACAGCAATTTCTTGACTGGATGGTAAGCTTTCGATCGATCGCTCGAGCTTTTCCATTTTCTCATCTGGATTGGATGGAGCCTGACACCATCGATTTTTAATTTCTTCCCTGTAGCTTGGCCGCGATGTGCTGCTGCTGCCTCTTGGATGACTGCTGTTGCGACCCCACTCTCTTGATCATCGACTGAGAAGAAGTCGAAGATGAAATAACGCGAGATGCGATCCATCCATCTATCCGTGTGTAATTTATTTAGAAATTTATCAAATCAAAATTTTAGGGTTCTTGGGCAAAGTTTAGGGCTCTTGGGTGAAGTTTTAGGGTTTTGTGCATGGAGCTCTCGTCCGAGCAGCTCCAGCGCAAGGTCGAGGCGGTGGAATTCGCCGCCGAGGAGCTCCTGATCGCCAGGCGCCAGGTAAATCTCCGGGAATGCGGCCGCGGAGAAGTTGATACCTCGATCGCAGCTTGTGGAGAGCGACAAATCGCGGAATGGGACGCGGGAGGCGCTCACGGCGCTGCGCAGGCAGGCGCGGACGTCCAAGAGCAGCGTCCTGAGCAGTGAGAGCGACGAGAAGATCTGCCGGACCTGTGGTGATTCCGATGGATCGCGCCCCGTCTGGAGCTTGTGCCCGGGGGCCGACGTCTTCGTACGCTTGCCCTTTCATCAAGTGCATTGCAATCTGGAAAGAGGTGGGACACTACTTTTTGGTATCCTTGATTGTTTTCTCATTTTTTTAGTGTTTCCAGCGCAAGTGGAGCTCGAGACAGACGTGAATCGATTGCAGAGCACTGTCAAGGAGAAGACGTTTCTTTTGTCTGAGAAAGGAGCCATCGCGGATGTGGTCAGCCCGAGCTTAGTGGAGAGCTTTGTCAAGCTCAAGGATCGGCATTGAGTTAAGTTCTTCGCAATACACAATAGTTATAGCGATCTCGTTTTGCGAGATTTACACTTACATTGTTTGATGGTCAGGGCGAATCTCACTGGTCCGGGAAGAAGCCCAGTATCCACTCGTGATCGAAAAACTGCTCCAGCGTGAAGCGCTCCTCGGGCGACTTTGCGATCATGCACCGGATCAAGTCCGCCGCCAGGGGTGGTATGCAGTCCCACCTGAGCTCCCTCTGGATCTCATCGTCGCTCCTCGCAAACACCTCCATCATCCGCCGGTAGCTCAAGTTGTAGAACGGAGTCATCCCGGTGAGGCAAGTGTAGAGAACCATCCCGAGCCCGAAGACATCACTGGCGGTGGAGTATGATCCAGCGATGACAGACTCGGGAGCCATGAATCCGGGGGTCCCGATTCCATCGCTGCTCCACGGCCAGCACGATCCAAAGTCGCCAAGTTTGATCTCGTACTTGGTGGCGGCGGCGGCGGCCGCGTCCGGAGTTGATGATCCAGCGCTCGCGGGCTTGATGAGAACGTTTCCCGGTTTGATATCGCAGTGGATCATCCCGCGGTCGTGGACTTGATCCAGCGCGACGGCGACGTTGTAGACGACGGTGGCGGCCTCCTTCTCGCCCAGCCGCGTCTTGAGCTTGATCATGTCGGTGAGGCTGCAAGAGCACAGCTCCAGGACCAAGTGGCAGACCTCGTCGTCCATCTCGCCCACTACCATCTCGAAAATCTCCTCCTCGAGCTTGATCACGCCGGCGATGGCGCTCGCCATGGTTAAGGCCCGCGCTTCTTCCCTCCCGCGGCCATGGGCGATGGTCTTGACCGCGAAGGCCGCTCCATCGGATCTTCGCAGGGCTTGGAAGACGCCCTGGGATCCATCACCGATGCGCGACTGGAGGGTGTATCTTTCGACCAGGCGCGGGTATTTGTGCCAGAGCTCGTCGTCTAGCTGCGAATTTCGGGGCCAGTGATCGATGATCTTCTTGCTCGCTCGCTCCAGATCCTTGTCACAAGCTCGCTTCGTCATGAAATTAGGGTTAGGCTATATCCTTGAAGGCCAAAAGATTTTTTAACAAAGGAAAGTTAGTATGGATTAGGGTTAGGGGTAGAGGTAAAAGGTGAAGATATTTTCTTATTATGAATTATCAAACGTGTTTCATGTTTCCCACTGAGAAGGGCATATGCTCCCACGAGATTCTCCGTCGCGACACTGCCACGTCCGTCACTCAAACGGAGCACATGTCATTTGGCCTCGTGGATTTCAAGGCGAGGCGAGCGAGTGCGTGCGAGTGCGTTTATATTCTTTCGTGTCCACCATTTCACCGCATCCAGCCATCCATCCCCACCCCATTTAGGTCTTTCTTCCATCGCTTTCTTGGGTCGATCTATTGGCAGGCGGCCGCTCTCACAGCCGCATCGATCGACCGGCGCCTGGAATTTTACTTTTGGGGCTTTCTCTGAGGTAAGATCTTTTTCTTGTTCTCTTTCGCTCTCTCTCTCTCTCTCTCTCTCTGTCGTTCTCTCTCGGGGCTTTGGCTTTTGGAACTTTTGCTTAATGCTGCTTGCTAGGGAAATGTGAAGATGGTCCTCGAGGCAAGGGAGTTGCAATTCAGGAAATTGCTAACGGGGGATGATGGTTTCAACGATTCGGCCACTCTCTCGCTTCTTCCGCCCAGCCAAGTGAGTTCTTCTCAGCTGGAAGTTCCTCCGGAGAGACCTTTGACTCATGCTGCTCCACTTGTAAATGGCGCAAGGTAGAGAAGTTCTTTTTTTCTTTCTTTGTTTCTTTTCCTTTCATGGATGATGGATTAGAGCTCATATTTGTTTGACTTTGTAGGCCGAAGCACCAGCTTACGATCTTCTACGCGGGTTGTGTCAACGTTTATGACGATATCCCTGAAGATAAGGTGTGTTCCACTTGTGAAACTTCTCTCGTGTCTTACACGAGTTTTTCTTCAGGCTCATGCGATCATGCTCCTGGCTGGGAATTCAGCCACTGGAAACGCGAGTCAGATTCTGGGATCCTTGGCATCCTTGCAAGCCCCGGCTGCAAACCATGCCGGCTTTCCCGAGCCGGCTCACAAAGTTCGTAAGTTACAGCAGGGATTGGCAGCTCCATCGCAGGCCGGCTTGCTTCTAAGCCTCAACTTTGGCGGCCGCGCAAGTGGAGGAAACTTTAACCCCGGCATTCCCAAGATCTCGTGTCCTCCAGTTCCAGCTCAAGGTACACACAGCTTTTCTTTTTCCTTGTTCATGTTCTAAATTGTTTCTATCTTTTACTTTGTCGCAGTGCTTCCACAAGCGAGGAAGGCTTCTCTAACTCGGTTCCTCCAGAGGCGCAAAGAGAGGTAAGAACGTAGAGCAGTGATTTGCTTTTTGCGAGCATTTGCTTATGCGTGAAGGGAGAAATTCTTTGCAGAGTTCTCCAGCAGTCTATGGAGTCCGTCAAGGATGACAAAACCAGCAGCGAGTTTTCCGTGAAGAATCAGGACTGCGCGTCCGCTCAGGAAGAAAATTCCGCCCTCAAGAAAGAAAACTCGGTGGGATCTATCGAAGCTTGAGCCTCTAAACTTTATACTACGTATATACTTTTTCTAACTCCCAACTGAATTTCTGTAAAAAAAAGGCTTAAAGAGAAAAAGTTGAAAAAAATGAAGAAAAGGTAGGAAAAAAAACTTAAAAAGAAATAGATTTAGGTGACTTGTGTATCGTCAATTTTTTTGGTTTCCGACTTAGAAATCATGGAAACTTCAAAGTTATTGTTTGATCGATTGCAGGCCATGGTATTTGAACTTACCTTGCAAGACATGGTTTGGTTTGTATTGTTCGTTTGTTTGCCTTTGATTGGAAGATACATACAAGGAGAAAGAACAAACCAGTGGGCAGTGGGCAGCCGTACGCTCTGACTGATTGGCCGCCTGGCCCAGGAATGGCTGAGCCATGGGCGTACGGTCGCGAAAGCCGATCACTTTGGCTTTGGAATTTTAGTGTTTTTATCCAGTCTGGCGATGGTGGCTTTGCTGCCTGCCAGGGGCCTGCGCCAAAGATTTGTGCGCGCAGCGATTTCAATGCGCGATTTCTTCCTCCAGTGATCGATGCTCGCTCCTCTGACCGGCGGCGCCGCGAAGAACAGGCTCTCTGGCGCGGTCGTGCGACGGGAACAGGGGATTCGGGGATTCGTGGTCGCGATTTTGGTAGGGTTTGTGTTCTGTGCATGCGGTGGTTCCCACGAGCGAAATTTCGGAGATTTGGCTCCGGATTGCTCGGATTTGTAGCCTAGCTCGCGAGCGATGGAGGCGCCGCATCTTTCAGCTCATCACAGCAATCGGCATGAAGGGAAGCGGGACTGGTTTGGATTGTTCTCGAGCTTCCGGCACGTCTCCAAGGTAAATCTTGCTGCTAGCCTTGCATTGCAATGCGAGACTATTCTTCTTTATTTTCGCTGTAGCATCATGAGGACTCTCTCAGCCTCTCCAGCACTCCTTCCCCTGATGGAGGCCTACAACGCCTTGGAAATCGTGGCGGAGACGAGAAGCTCGAAGACATCGTGGAGAATAGGAATTGGACGGCGATCCAGCCGTCTGGATTCCGGCCTCAAGCTCGCCGTAACGTAAGTTTGAGCTACATTTTGGCGAGAGAAATCACTCACAGTGGTTGCTTGTTCTTTAGCACGCAACGACAGTGATAGGAAGGAAGATGATCGTTGTTGGTGGTGAAACGGATAATAGAAAGCTCAACGATGTACACGTAAGTTGGAAACACACTTTCGGATGATGATAAATATTTCCTTGCTGGCTGTGTTTTAGATGCTGCACCTGGGAAAATTGACATGGTCCGAGCTTGGATCATCTGTAATAACAAAACCTTCGCAACAGCTTCCACCGTGTAGCGGCCACAGCCTGGTACAAACACTTGAGATATTCTTCCTTGATCTATCATTTATCTTACAGATTGCGTGGGGGAAAACTGTTCTCTTGGTTGGAGGAGATATGGACCTTCACACTGACAAAGTCACAGGTTCGATAGCTACGTTCTCGAAGAATTCGACGACCTTTCCCTTGTTACAGTTTGGTCGTTTGACCTCGAGACAGAACACTGGACTAAAGTCCATGCGAAAGGCGACGTTCCCGTAAGTTAAGTGAGCTGTCTCACACAGCACTGACGAAAAAAACTGTGCAGGCAACACGGAGTGGTCAAACTGTAAGTCGTGCCGGCTCTATTTTGGTCATGTTTGGAGGCCAAGATGCAAGAGGCCGCATGCTAAATGATCTTCACGTTTTGGATCTCAAGTCACTCATATGGCTTCCCTTGCTTACAAGGTAGGCTACATGTTTTACGCATTTGCCGCTACCACTTTTTTGCTGTTTTTCTCAGTGGCAAAGGACCATCACCACGGGCCCGACATGTTGCTGGCATGTATGATGATCGTTACCTTCTTGTGTTTGGCGGTTCGACGAAGACAAAAGTCTCAAATGATCTCTATGCACTTGACTTTGAAACTGTACGTATGTCATACGGCATGCCCATCCTCTGATATCCGTTTTGCAGATGGTGTGGTCTCGCCTAAAGCCAGGAGGATGTAGTCCATCTCCTAGGACGGGCAGCTCTGGCGTCCTTGTGAATAACAAATGGTACATTACGGGCGGAGCTCAGCGTGGAACCAGTACGGTTTTTTGAGCGGCTTTTCATCCGGTCTAATATTATGTCTCAGGAGTTGCTGAAACTATAGCACTTGATATTCCCAAAATGTCATGGATGAACGCTATGAGGAGTTCGCTGGATTCTGTTGCCAGTAATCAGGTACAGGGTTTTGTATTTGTCTCTGTAGTAAAGTTCTTTTTGTTTTCCTGCATGCACAGGGACTGAGCCTTGTTGTAGTTCAAAAAAAAGACAGGACTTTTCTTGTTACCTTTGGCGGAAGCGGTGCAAAATCTAGGAGCAACGAGGTTCGTGCTTATTATAATCACCTTCCGTCCTCTGGTGACATTAGAAATCGTAGGTGCAAGTGCTGTACATTGCATCAGCGGAGCAAAGGGAAGACAATGACATTTTTCATGGCAGCAACGGACGTACGTCACCGAGAGACCCGCTTGTACCTTCTGCAGCTCACAATGCTGTGAGCCCCACGAATCAGCGCCCGACCGTCCTCTCTCGGCTTCTAGACTCTCCCTCCCCGGAAGCTGTTCCTGGTCTTGTTCCGCTGCGCCAGATACACTCTCAGGCTCATCAAAGTTACAAGGCAGGCGAGAAGGTTCTTAACGACAACGTAAGCACCGAAAAGATGGTCTTCATGTTCTTCAGTAATACCGATGCAGGCTTTTGTGTCAGGTTTCGTATGGCGAAGAAGAACCCGAGTCGCCGGATGCACACGACACCGTGACTAAGGAACCTCAGTCGCCACGCCCCTTGGAGCAGCACGAGACTTCCGTGGACGCCGACGTGAAGTGCGATTCCGATTCTCAGTCGGACGAGATCGAAGATGTTGGCTCGGAAGAGATACTCAAAGAAAAGCTTGCATTGGCGGTGAAGAAGAATCTCCTGACCGAGGCAGAGCTCGAAGCAGTGCAGCAAGAAAAGGACGAGCTGGAGAAGAAGCTGAACCTTGCAACCAGGAGCCAGCAATCCGCCGAAGCAAAGCTCGGCCTGGTAACGAGGGAGGTGGAAGGGCTGAGAAGAAAGCTCGAGGCGTCGGAGCTCGTCCAAGAAGAGTCCAACAGCCTTTCCAACATCGTCCACTCTGAGAATTTAAGGCTGGAACACGACCTCTCGTTTCTAAAGGCGGTGCTCGAGGAGACTCAAAAGGTAACTTTCATTGCGGCATAGCTGAGCTTTCTCTTTATGATCACGTTGTAGGAGTTACATTCCACTCGAGGAGTCCTGGCCAGCGAGCGCACAAGAGCCTTTCAACTACAGGTTCGTTCGTTTTCTCACATTTTTGTTGTCACTCATTCATACGGGGACTGCCTGTCAGGTTGAATTGTTCGAGTTGAAACAGACGCTACAATCATGAGCGCGACTAAACCAATTTGTACATATGGTTTTTTTGACGTATGGAAGGTTCTCTTCGGCATTTATAGACAAGTACTACGGTTGTTGTTTACAGTTCACGCTCTCAACTTCCTAGAGAAGACGACGTACATTGGATCCGTTCTTCCGGGATTTGGCGAGATATCCAAGGCCTGAAAGAAAGCTCTGGCAACATTGACGAGAAGAAAGGCAGGCTTGGTTTTTCACGTACCTCGGCTGGTTCGTATCCTCCAGCGTAATGGAAGTAAGCACCAACAATCCAGACGTGATCCACGTCCCCAGTTGCCGTCCACACGGAGACTGCCTTCGTCCAGAAGCATCGATTCGAGAAACTAGAGGCAGCGGCGAGATTTATCTTATCCGAAAGCAGGCGAAGCACGTACCTCAAGCAGGCTAAACCTCCGGGCTTAAGTACGCGATTCATCTCCTTGAAGACATCAATGGGCTTGCTCAAGTAGTCCACACTGACCTGTGAAGGAAAAGAGAGATGGAATAAAGCGAGGAGCCAGGCACACGGAGAAAAGAACGAAGGAAAAGCAACCTGGAAAAGAGGCCAAGCAGCCTTACCGTGTTTGTAATCACGTCGAAGGAATTGTCCTCATAAGGCAGGCGAGGATTCTGGTTTAGATCTTGCACCAAGTACTCTGTTAGCACCTGCGAAAGAAAAGAGAATATATATATATATATAAGCTCTCGAGAAACGAGGTGAAAGATTTTTCTATTCTAAAGGAGCTGGAAAGGAGCGAACGGAAGAACGAACAAAAAAATAAAGCCTGGACCTTACTGGGTTCCGTTTGAGCTCTTCCTCGTTTAGTCCTTGTCCGGCGATGCGTTGCTGTGCGTAGTTCTTGGGATAGTGGCTAACCTGTGAGTCAGATCGTCATGGCCTAGCGAAACAAAAAGAAAGGAAAAAAAAAATTCGAAAGAAAAATCTCGCGTACCCAGCTGCTACACATGTCTAGTAACGCCACGCCGGGAGTGTTGCTTGGTGGGAACACTGTTGCGTAGTATTTAGTGAGCGCCTGGATCGCAGCGTCGTCAATGTGAGTGACGAATCTGGGCGTGGAGTAGAAGAGCGTGTCTGGTGATCTTGAGAAACAAAGAACGTCTTCCATGTTAGCGAGAGCATTAGCTATCAATGTGGAGCTTACTCGTCATAACGCTGGAAATCTTCCTTCTTGAAGGGGAATTCCTCCGGCCACCCCACGTTTCTTAGAATCTGGAGAGAAGGGGGAGAAATCCTGTGGAGATCGATCGAAATATCCGGGAATTCTTACCTCCTCTGCCTCGGATCTCTTCTTGGACCTGGCGGCAAACGCTGGATCCCCGCCCTGCGGCTCCATGATTCCAGCCGCCGCCGCTGCGGCGCCGAGCAGCGCCCGGCGCAGGAATCTCGGCGCTAGAGACGCGCTAGCTCGAGAGGATGGCGTCGGCGACCTAGAACAAACGCTGCGCCACCGGTAGCTCGCAGTCACAGCTGCCGCCATAGCTCCCTGACCTGATACGTGGCAGGGATTATTCGATGCCGGGAATATGCTTCCGGTTTGAAAAATCAAGGCCAACAGTTTGATTTTTTAACTGTCATGCCCCGTTAGATATTGTACTCATTTCGAGAATAGAAGGTCAAGTTCTAAATTTTCTGGTGAGCTGTGCCGACCAATGACAACGTGCTTGATCATAAATTGAGTCATTTTCATAGTATTAGTAATATGTTTTAAGAGCACCAAATGCCTGGTGGTGAGTGTGAAGAAAGTTTCCGCTGGAACTCGAAGGAGTGGTGGTTTTAAAATTGGCAAGCTTCTCATATTCTTCTCGTTCTGTGATCGCCTCATCTTCATCTCGTCTAGTTCAATGAATGCAAAGCTTGACAAATTCAGATTGACTTTAGCATAGTTAACGTGTTCCTTGGGAAGATTTAGGAGCAAGCCAAAAAAAAGGCATGGTGGTCGTGCTGGTGGTGGTAAAGCGACCACCGCATGAAGAAACATTACAGGCCAAGGGAATTGCATTTGTCAAAGAGGGCGCAACTTAGGGCCCCCCAAACTCAAACAAAAAGGGTGGCTTTGTCAAAGGAGATTGAATTGAAACGCTTTTGTTTTTGCAAAGAAGGAGAAGTAGCTGTTCTTCTGCTGTGCTCCCCAAAAAAGGCATTGAATGGAGACAATGACATATATAATGGCTAGAATTACAAAATCTGCTGCACTCACTTGCCAATGCCACCCACCCCAAGCCAACCAGAAGAGAGGAAAAACCAACACATTGGGGCCAGCCCCAAAAAGAGAGAAGCCCTAGAAACCTGCAGCAACAAAAGGCCATCCTCCCATAAAGATCATTCAACTCCCCTTTGCAACAAACTCTGTACTCTTGTGTGCTCCTTTCTTGTGTGTGCTGTAGGGTGGCATGGGTGCAACATGTAAGGTGGACATGCATTACAGAATCTTGTTCCCCACTGTTGATCAAGGATTAAGGCGAGTGTAACAAAATTCCATGGAATCTATGACGAGCTCGTGAGGTGTGTGTATACACGCACATGATACGCTAGAATGAAGGGTATATTTGTACACGACATAGTTGCTTCCAGGGAGGATGTCAATCTTCGTGGAGCCCGCGAGAGCACAAAAAGTAGGAAAGAAAAAAGTGAGGAAAGAGAAAAGGTGGCGAGGTTTCACCGGGCCAAATCGCCAAAAGCTGGGAAGGCGAGAATAAAAAAAACAAGATTACCTCTCCATAATTCCCGCTAGTTCAAACACGTACGGAGAGCCCGGCCTGCCGTACACCTGGCCACCCAGTTTAACTCTTCACGGCTATGGCGGCTCTCTTTGTTCCGGGGGGTGTGTGTGATATTTTGGCGAGCGCAGCGCTTGGAGAGCGCGCCCTGGCTCCTGGAGCCCATGCCGCGCGCTAGGGTTTGATGGCGAATGGGTGGCGATCGGCGGTGGCAGGAGTGGCAGCAGCGGCGCGGCATCGTCTAGGTTTGCGAGCTGCCAGATTTTGGCACATTGCAGGGAGCTGGGGCTGGGAATCGCGGCGCGCGGTCGCGAATCGCGAGCGCTAGAGCGGGGATCGAGCGAGGTCAAACAATGGAGGAGCATTCTTGGTTTTACTTGTCGGGGTAGGATTCCAATGCGGCACGGGTCAACGCATCGCAAGCGGATTTTGGGGGCGATCCGGGGCCCGGATCGGGGATAGGACCGGGAGTTCCGTGTGCCGTGCTCGCGGGGTGATGAAATCCCCCGGGAGTCGGCGATCGATCGAGGCAGCGGCAGCGGCAGAGTGGTGTAGCTCTTCTTCCTAGTTGATAGCGCGACTCACGAGGCAATGGGATCACAGATCTAGCAGTGACAGGTGCCCGGACGGGGAATGTGCGCAATTCTGGGGAGATAGGGGGCTATCATGTCACTGGGGCTGGCATGGGCGATTCTCGCGCTTCTCGGCGTCGTCACGATCCTACCGGCGGAGTCGCAGACGCTGCTGGCATCCGAGGCCTACGCGATGCGGCACCTCAGGTACTCGCTGAGAATTCGGGACTTCTACTGGCCCAAGACGCGGGATCCATGCCTGGATTGGAGAGGAGTTCTTTGCGAGAATGGACGGGTGGTGAGCATCTATCTCTCCGGGTTGAAGAGGACGCTGGTGGGGATGGCGCGGCCGACGCTGGCGCTGGACAATCTCCAGGGACTTCCCGCGCTGCGGCTGCTCAATGCCACGGGATTCGTGATGCTGGGGACGCTCCCGGATTGGATTGGCCAGCTCTCGGCATTGCAAGTGTTGGATTTCTCGGCGTGCTCGATCAATGGGTCGGTTCCAGGGGGAATTGGTCAGCTGGGCAGCTTGCGGAGGCTGTCGCTCGCAAGGAACGATCTCATGGGTGGAATCCCGGCCAGCATCGGGAATCTCTCCCGCCTCGAGCTGCTCGACCTCAGTGGAAACATGCTCAGCGGGGTGCTGCCGCCGGAGCTCGGGAGGATGGCATCGTTGAGAGATCTCGACTTGAGCGGCAACATCTTCTCGGGTCCCATTCCAGCTTCTCTGGCAGTGAGCTCCTCGTCGAGCTTGCGGAGCGTGAGGCTGTCCGATAACAGGCTTGACGGGTCGGTCCCGGAGAATCTCACGGGGTGGTCGACGCTCCAGGAGCTAGCTCTCGGGAAGAATTTGCTCGCGGGAGAGCTGCCTGGAGCTCTGCAAGATCTTCGCAACTTAACGCTCTTGGACCTCTCGCTCAACAATTTCACGGGGACGATACCGCCGGGGCTGGCAAGTCTTTCGAGTTTGCAGTCTCTGGACCTCTCCAACAATACGTTTTACGGGCCGCTGCCTGCGGCGGTGTCGTCTCTGCGAGGACTGCTCGTCTTGAACGTCTCGGACAACTTTCTCAACGACACAGTGCCGGCAGGGACCGTGGCCGGCGCCATACTTAGCGAGAACTGTTTCGTGAATGCGAGCGGGCAGCGTTCCTTGAGCGACTGCCAGGCGTTCTACGCTGCCAGGGGCCTGGTTTTCCAAAACGCTTCGTCTTTCAACTTGCCGACGCCAATGCCGACGAGAAGATCAAAGTCCAAGCCCCGCCACCTTGCCGTTATACTGGGGGGAACTTTTGGTGGTCTTGGGCTGGTTCTCCTGGTGGCTGCGCTGGTTCTTCTTATACGAAAGCACGAGAGGCGGCCGGCTCGAGAGCCTCCAAAGAAATCGGACGAGGCGATGGCTGGTGGCGCCGCCGCGGGTGCTGGCGCTGGTGCAGCGACGACGAGCGGGACGGGCCAACCCGTCGTGCCTCCCGCCGTTGCTGTCAAGATGTCGAGTATCGGAGAGTCGTTCACGTTTAGTCAGCTAGTCCGGGCAACTCAGGAGTTTTCTTCGTCCAACTTCATCAAGGCCGGGCACTCGGGCGACTTGTATCGAGGTGTTCTAGACGGCGGCGTGCTCGTCGTCGTCAAGAGGATCGAGGTTGCCAAGATGAAGAAGGATTTGCTCACTTTGGAGCTCGAAGTTTTCGGCAAGGCGTCTCACACCAGGCTGGTTCCTCTCCTCGGGCACTGCCTGGAAATGGACGAGCTCAAGTTTTTGGTGTACAAGTACATGCCCAACGGTGATCTGGGACAAGCACTACACAAAAAGGTTGTTCCAAGCCCACCCGCGGATATATTGCAGTCCCTGGACTGGATCACAAGATTGAAAATCGCGATTGGAGTGGCAGAAGGCCTGAGCTACTTGCATCACGAGTGCGTCCCTCCACTTGTACATAGGTACGTTCTTGCGGTTTAAAGGTTGCCGTTACGTAAAAGCTGATGGCGCATTTTCCTTCTTCCTTGCCATGGCAGGGATGTACAAGCGAGCAGCATTCTTCTCGATGACAAGTTTGAGGTACGGCTGGGAAGTCTGAGCGAAACGCGGGAGCAAGGAGGCGAAGCGCAGCCTGGGTTGATAACTCGGCTGCTGAGATTGTCACAGTAAGTTTTTTTTTAACGCTTTTCTTTGCATTCTTTCTTTAACTGTCGTTCTAAGTTTTCTCGTTTGTCGCTGCAGGACGACCGAGCAAGGCGATCAAGGTGAGAAAAAAATTTAATGTTTCCGAAGGTCTCCAGCTGCTCATGCTTCTTTCTTGTTTACAGCAGGCTCCGCGGTGGCATCATGTGCATACGATGTTTATTGCTTCGGGAAGGTGCTGCTGGAGCTGGTGACGGGAAAGCTCGACATCAGTGGCACCTCGGATCCAAACGCCGACGCCTGGCTGGAGTGGGCTCTTCCACTCATCGACCGGCACAACAAAGAGGGAATAATGAAGCTGGTGGACCCGTCGCTGATAGTGGACGAGGACCTGCTCGAGGAGGTGTGGGCGATGGCCATCGTCGCCAAGCTGTGCCTCCACGGCCGGGCGTCCAAGCGGCCGCAGATCCGCCACGTCCTCAAGGCGCTGGAGAACCCGCAGCGGGTGACGAGGGAGGAGAACTTTAGCTCGTCGCTGCGCTCCCGGACGTCGTCTCACAGCTCGTGGAATGCGTCGCTGTTTGGGAGCTGGCGGCACAGCTCGTCGGAGAACGTGATCGCGTCCGGGGTGCTGAGGGAAGAATACGTGGGTGGTGGCGGAGGTGGCGGCGGCGGTGGTGGCGGTGGTGGCGATCCCAGCAGGAAGCACTCGGGAACGTCGCACTCGCAGGGGTCGATCACAGGGGAGCAGTCGTTCCACCGGAGGCCCGGGTCGAGCGAGATCTTTCCCGAGCCGGTGGAGGACGTTCCAGTCAAGGCGTCGAGCTTGGGATCTGGGGACAACAATGGCAGTAGCAACAACAACAGTGTGAAGCTCCGGCAGTATCAACAGCAGCAGCAGCAACAGCAGGTATGAGAATGATTGACACACACAAGAGATTCACGAGGAGAGGCTTGCTTTATATTCTTTCGCAATAAGATCCCCCGAGAACTTTGGAAGAACACGAAGAAGAAAACACACACACACACACCCAAGGTTGGTCTGTTCGTTCGTTTTGTTCCCCCGAATTGGTGGAGCAACAAAGAAATCCCTGTAG